ACTACCAACACCGTAGTCGCCACCACCAGCATCACCATCGACACCATCATTTGCATCCCTATTATCACAATCACAACCCGTCTCTGCTGCCGGTCTCAGCGGGAACCCGCCTCGGAAATACCAGACTAAGGCTGTGTGTGCTGGTACTTATGCTGCTCCACACTATGGCCTCCTTCTCGGCTGTGCAGAATGGGGTGAGTTTGGAACCCATGACTGGCATGGAAGAGACATCGGCACGTGAAGAGTGAATGCATGGAAGCGCTTTCTGAAAACTCCGAAGGTTGAAATACGTTCCTCCCAAAGGGTGTGCCCTTTTGTTTGACCTGGAGGCACTGAGAGGCCGCCCTCAGAAGCAGTTAACGGTGGCTCAGCCTAGTGAAAACAGATGATGAGTCCTTTGGGCTTGAGGGCCTGTGAGACACAACTTTGAGAAGGGTTCTGTGTCAGTGGCCTTGAAATAATGCTTGTATTAAGCATAGGCAGTGTGAGGCAGAGTAAGATTGGGGTGGTCCTGTATCAAATTGAATATGGAAAGAATGTCTGGCCAAATAATGTATGGCATTCTATGCTTAGTTAAACAGTTGGCCTAGCTCACCAATAACGACTGGTGAACAAGTGATAAGTGCTTTAGTGCTGCCCTGAATGTATTCTTGGTCATGATGGCTAACAAGCATTATTTATAAGAGGTGTATGTGGCCAAGTGGCAGCTGTATTTCTAAGGTGAATACAAAACTGAAAGTTAGTCACCTAGCCAGGCTTATAATTGTGAGAGATCTGATAATTACAGTATTCTGCAAAAATAAAGTATACAACACTGTGTCTCTTTACAGTGAAAAATACAATAAATGCTGGTTTTCTAAGTTACAAAAACATGAGACACTTAAACAAACAAAAAAAAATGTAATACAATGTGCAAAAAAATATATATTTTGGGTCACTTGTGGTACTGCAAACAATAGGAGATAAATCTGAATTTTTTCAGAATGAATGAAGTTGATGGAACAAAAACAAGAAAAGAGAATACGCATAAGATAATGTGTGAAGGTGAGTCAGCCTCGCATTTTCTGGACAGGCTGATTTAAATGTTTCCACAATTCAGTTTTATATAATTTTATCAATTGTGCAAATCAAATGTTTGCCAGAAAAGACAAACAACTTAGAACCAGTTTATAAAGTCTTACATATTTGGAGGTTATAGTAGTTTGAGATCATCACACTTCCCATAAGAGTTCTTATAATTAGTGCATGCATGGTCTGACTAATTTCTTATACATTTATGCAGAATTTATTTTCACAAGATAAATGTTTTGCACAACTGTCTTGCCTTTAAACAGATACCAGTCAATAATGTATTTTCAATGTACCCGATGATCCAAATGACATAACATAGCACCAAATCAAATTAAAAAGATACCAATACATCACACTCAAACTGTCATTACATTTGGAAGCTGAGGTAATTTACAATAAGAGTTACTGTAGTAGTTCCCAACTCAGTCCGTAAAGCACAGCAAGCTAGGATTTCCATAGTTCCAAGGGATATACTGACAAACCCTGGACCACAGATTTACCTTGGGGGCTAAGTTGGGAACCACTGCTTTAGAGAAATGGTTAATACAACACAAACTTCCCTATGTGGTTAAGGCAATAGAAACATGCGGTCTCCTTTTTTTGCCGACTGCCACTTTACAAAGTAAAACAGGACACATTTGAATTTAAATGCATTCTGTAGGCCAGCGTAGTGCAAGTTCAATATGGATGTATAAGTCATTCGTGAGCATCTGAAATTAGAGTCAGTAATGCCTTAATAATATAAACTGTATTGTTTGACTCTCACACTGAGATCATTTCAGATAATATGGAAAGGTTATGGAACAGATTAAGTTTCAATTATGTAATGGGAGAATAAACTAACGTCAGCCCCCCGTCTGCTACAACATACAGAGCTCACGGAACAATAAAATTAAAATAGGCATGTTCTATTTATTTTATATATACAGTACTTATATCCGAACCTATATAAAGAAAAACTCTGATTTAATCTCAAATTAACTAGAGGCATTACTTTCTATTTAACAACACAACAGTAAAGGAACAACTTTACTAATAAAAACTTGGATGCTGTACGTACCTCTGTAATTAATTAATTAATTTGCGGCGCCTAAAAACTGCCTAAGTGGCACTCGTAATGGCCGGTTCGGTGTCAAATTAATAGGCGCCTGATTTTAAACACACAGCTTGGGAAATCTAATCACTTTATGGGCTAAATTAATGACAAACATATATTACTGTGTTTTTAGTAGTTTCGGAACACACTCTGTATTTAAGTTGGATGCGTCATAAGTATAAATGAAATTGTATCACGCAGCAGGATTTTTTTTTTTAAGTAGGTCTCCTCTTCCAAATAGAAATGAAAATACAATTTGATTTCCTTGGCAACGTAATGCTGTTTAACAATTACACAGCTGCAATGTATGCTGGGGAATACTACACTGCGGGAAATTAATGTGTTTCCCTAAATAAATTGTCCCTAAACAATTAAATCTCTTACACATTTGACAAAAATGTCTGCTAACACACTTGACCATTTTTCAGAAATGCAAGTCAATTAATATAGTGAAACTTATAAATCTGTTTCTTTTTTTTCTTTTTTTGGACAAATACAATCCTCACCATAAATTGTAAAATACAGATTCAAGATGAATATATTACACATCTGTTTAAGCAGGTTATTAATGATACAAACATCTTATCATAGGAAGGGATTCTCACTAATAAAATCTGTTGGGTATCTTTCCACCATTTTTAGAATAGAAATCTACAATTGTTCAGGTTATTCATTGTTATTATTCAGCCTTCTTTTGTACCATTTCATTTTGAAGTTTTTATTAGGAGACTTAAGGAATATGACATCAACTTTTAAATTTACGTAATGATTTTTTTTGTTGCCAAAATGCAAATGATGCTCATTAATAAAATAACATGTAACATTAAAATAATCGTTATCACCAGTAAATTTTCGTTGGGCATTAATGTTTAGTATAATTAAAGTAACTTGTCTTCCCTGGTATTGGTAATATCTTTACCTGGTACATACAATGCAAGGCAGAACTCATCAAGTAGTAATTTCTTACATTTTCATGTGTAGATCCTTCATGGTTGTGTATATGTCACATGAGCATGATTCCTTTCAGGTATAGGTAATTCTGGAAATGTAAGCAAAAACAGATGCAAAAAAAAACAGAACATATAGCCCATTTAACACAATAAGTACATAGATTGTATAAAACAATTAGTATAGAAAGTAAAATACACATGTCCCATAAAGCTATTACCATAATTTTAATTTTCTTCAACCAAGGGACAAGTGTACTCAATAAATATTACATATAAATATGGTTCTAGAAAAAGGAACAACTTAAATTAAAGTGGAAATCAAGTTTAAATTTGATTCAGCCTTTAGAGGTAGGTTCTCAATCCGACCCAAAAAAACTGCAAAGGCTTTCATTTTCTCAGTTATCTTCTTTAATCTGAGCTGGGTATGACCCCCCATTTATAATCCATTAGATGACAGTCCTTTTATATCAGGGGTGTCTTTTCATGGATGGGATTAAGGAGAGATCACATGTAATGCTGCTACAGGATAAATATGTTTTTTTCAGTTAGGTATAAAAGATTTGTTTTGTGCATTGAGCTAATTAACCCCTTAAGGACCAAACTTCTGGAATAAAATGGAATCATGACATGTCACACATGTCATGTGTCCTTAAGGGGTTAAAATGCCTGCAGATGTCTAGCTTAAAAAGAATATACATACCTGACACTTTTGTTGCCCTTTTCCAAGATGGTTGCTGCAGTGAAATAGAAGCACACATCCTCAAATGCGCAGTGCAGTATCCCACAATGCCCAGCACTATGGGTGGCAAGGAATGGACGATAATCAGTTCTGAGCGCCGTAGGTTGAAGCTACATATGTCGAAAAATGTTATCTATGCATTTGCTAGCAAGACGTAGATATAAAATGGTGTTATCTATAATGTGATAACATGTCCTATGTGTATAACAGGTGCACTTTAACTAGTATAAAAAAGTCAGGAAGATGATGAACGCATTGCAGATGAATGTATTACACTTTCCTGTCAATCCAAAGTATTACAATGCATGTATGACCTCTTAAAGGGAAAAAAATGTACTATTAACATGTACATATTTTGTTTTATTATAGCACTTTAATTTCTAATATCCATACTTAGAGAAGCAGCATTTATGATATATAGAATGCATACCTCTCCCTCCCCCCCAACATCAATGTCCCGTAAATCAGGACACTATTGGTCTGACTTGCTAATAACAATGTATGCATCTAAAATGTAATTTAGAACAAGAACAATGTATATTATTTACACAGACTGATTTCTAGGAACATTTTATAGTTTAATGACTAGATTTTATTGCTGTGGTGCAAACCAGTTACAAAATTCCCATCATTGGCACTGCTCAATAAGGATGGGTCTTCCCCGAGATAGAGGTGGAACCTCACAAAAAATTGTCAAATCGGCCTTGTGTGAATGTCAGCCAGGTTGCCTGCCAGTAACATGGGCCAGCCCTTTTGAGGGTAGACTATTTCTATATATACTAGTTCAGTGCTCTCTGCATGGTCCCAGTGGGCTGAGCATAACACGAGTGTGGCTAATGATGCTCTAGTTTTGTGCTTTATAGGAACAGTTTCCTGGTGTCTCCAAATGTGGGACACCAGGGAACAAACCTGGGATGATTGATGATTGGACAGGACCCTAAAATTATGACCGTACCCTGAAATTAGGGAGGACTGAGTATGTTCCCTGCATGGAAGTGATTTAAGACTGCAGATAGTGTTGCTCTTATAAGCATCTCCTCGGAAGAAATTGAATTTACCAGCTATGGGATTCACAGAATTTTAGAGGCAAAGTGATTTTTAATTATACCACAACATGGGGGGGGGGGAGAGTTATCCTTGTTGACTCCAAAATGGCAATCAGCTTTCTCCTAGGATCAACAAGCTTTTAATAAGATTGTGCATAAATCAGGGTTTAAAATGGACTAATAAGGAAATTGCCAATTGTAGGTGACGTTAGACACTGGAGGATCTTCCCAGTTTATCAACCTAACATTTGCAATTCTTATGTCATTTCAACGAAATTACTATAGTGGATAAACCCCAGTGTGCAAATGTACTTGGCGCACGGGAGATAAACAGGATGCTATCCCAATGACATCACCAATGGGAACGGGTTTCAGAGTATAATCTAATATCTGGAATGACTGTGTAATTGAAAAATTAAACTTGTCTATAAAGATAGACTATATTGACCTTTTGGAGTTATCTATCAGAAAGCAAATGATCAGTGACAGCTCTATTCCCCCTTGTTTTTGCAGCTGCTACATTTTACTTGCAAAAGTTGCCTTGAATTAACCAATTTTACTGAAGCATATAGAGCGTATATGTGAAGGCCTATTATGGCCAAATACCTGTGTGGTATGACGGCGTATAAACTAGTCATATGGCTCGCTGCCCCATCTATAAAGATGCAGAGGAAACAAATTATGGAGAAGAAATCATGCTGCGGCTGAAATATATTTCTTAACTCTTTCAGTGAAATGCACGTCTTCTATGGAGACTCAGACAGATTGAAAGTAATTTGGAAGACAGAGTCGGCCTGTTCACCAACTGTTTTAGATGTGACATGTTCACTGTAACAGAGAAATACTTTCTAGATACTTGTAGTCAGAGAATGTTTTTTAGAGCACAGATAGATGATGGTGCCTTACACAATACAGAGTTACCCAGTACTGTCACACAGACAGGGATTTATATTCAATCCTCTAGCCCTTGAATTGTTGGTCTAGTTAGTAAATGTAATCATTATTTAAAATATGCCTGTTCTAGTATTCTTGTCCTTTAATGCACTGGACATAATTTTTTTCTGCATCTTCGCCTGTTGTTCATTTCCTTGTTCTTGACGTCTATGGCTTGTGGTATTTCCCAGATATCCTTTCTGCTGCTAAAGAGGACTCCCTGAATGATGTTTAAACAGAGGCCTGACTTACAGCTGCCTTGAAATGACCTTAACATCTGGGAACGCATCTGTGCCAGTATCATCCTCTGAAGGGGAAAATACAAATATTCTCTTCATTCCCCTAACAATTAAGCTGTGCATTTTGCCTCCTGCTCAGGCTTAGATAGAAGAAAATGATCACTTGATCTCAGTCACAGTTGGTTTTATTTATATAAAGTCATAATTTATTATCTCTTTAAACCCCTGAAACATTCTCAGATAAAGCTAAAAACAGAGTTTTAAACCACATTAGCTTTGGAGAACATTATTCAAGGATTCCACAATGCAGCTTAGATAATTGCATGTGTTTTTCATAATTTATTCATACAAGCATACACACATTCCGTCACCATTATGTGTTTCATTTGTTTTGCTGCGTTTAACCAATTGGAAAGTCTTCTAAACCACTGCGGCTATGTGCACTAGCAAAGCTGAATCAAAGTTGCAGAAAATAATCTTTTTGGAAGTTCTTCCAAAAGCCTAAGTTTTCTTTTAATAAATAAACCCAATGTCCCTACTTTCATATGCAAATAATATTCAACCCGTTAAGGACAAACTATTGCAGAACTCCTTTGCAATAATCTGATCTTTAAAAATATTAGACTGTGATGAAATATCCTGCTTACTTAGAATTGGTAGTGTGGTATACAACGTTAGACTTTCTGTTAAGGTGTCGGGTATTTTGTACCGTTAAGATAACTTGGTCATAAAATGGCATTAACAGGAACAAGCTGAAAAGTGCCACAGTCAGTTATGCTCATTTTTTTCTGTGGGGGCAAACTAAATTGGGGCTTTTTGTCTGCGTCTTTAGCACCCTTCATTTTAGATCGTACGCAATTTTTTTGGGCTGTGCAACAAATTATCAATCTTTTCATCAATTTTCTCCACCAGAAAGGTTTAATGTCTCACGTTTTTTTTTTCTTTTTTTCTGCCACTGTATTTTTGGCAGACTTATCTGTTATGGATTTTTGTCAAAAATGGCCACAGAAAAGAGATTCTCATATTTTAGAGCAAGGATGCTGGTTCCTCCCTGTGCTGCCGATATAACAGGAAGTAGATTAGTATACAAATGCGAAACAAAACTATGAATTGACCCTTCACACGCAGTGTTTCCATATTATTATAAATCAATTCAAACAGTCTATAACTTATATTAAATGTATTTATTTAATAGTTCTTATGGAGCACTCTCAGTCAGAATGCTTTAAAACATCTTTACAATTGATCAAATGTATTCTTAGAGTCAAACATTCCCCAAATTTAACTTTTTTTTTATTTTAAAAGTGAAACTTAGATTCTTCATTGAGGCAACGCAACTTTCAGGAGTCTGCCTTCTGCGCCACTCTAGACTGACAAACCAGAGCATGTAGCTCCAACGATCCCTTGCATTCAGAAGCAACATAAATAAGCCACACTAGCAAGGCAGGGTATCTCATAGGAAAATTGTATGTATATAATATTCATAATTTTTTATGATCTGTGATATGTGGGTGTAATATCATCAATGCCCATTTGCACGTCATGTCTTAATGAAAGGAAGTGTGAGAGCACAGCAATTAATACAAGGCAGTAAGATAGACTATCTATGGCCAATAAGACTTATTAGGATAATTGCCACTTGTTAGGTTAATGTGATGCTGGAATAAAACTGTAAAATGAATGAGATCCCACCCAATTTTTTTTTTTTTTAAAGGTCATTTTTAAGTAATTTTATGATATATCACTAGAGAAAAAATATGATAATTGTTTTAGAATGTCTGTTAGGCTACTTGGACAGGTATGCTGCATTTCTGCATTTTTTAGAATGTCACCAGCTTGCATTCATTGGTACCCTGCACTAGCAATGAGAGATGACCTTACACTGCTTTCAGCTAGTGGTGATTGACTGGGGCACAGTATTACTCCCAACACTCGTTTCCAGTCCTATAAGTTGTCAGGTGTTTCTGCCTGTGTAAACCACAACATCGAACAGTAGGGAATAAAAAATAAAAAAACTTAGGCAAAAATAGCAGATTTTAAAAAATCTAATTCAGTTACAGTCACAACTAATGTAGTGTCTATTTTGCAATATTAGTGAATAACTGAATAGTTAAAAGCCCCACAAATCAGAAAAAATATAAGAATAATAATGTCCTTTTAAACGTACTTGGGCTGCATTTGAATTTTCAATTTTGTTTCTGTGAAGAATAATAACGCAAAACCAATGCATAATGCCACTTTAAAGTAGATCTGTAATCTACATGTGTGTGAAGTAAGGTCCCACAGGGTTCTAGGCATTTTACTGTTTTGGGGCCCCTTATTGTTCACATAGGGATGGTGAATGGATCCAAGAAAATTTGTGGTTCCAGGCCCTCTGCCTCATCCATGGGCCCCAAGTAGCTACCTAAAGTTACACTATAATTACTCCTTCAATGGGGATGACAGGTCCAACTTGCGAAAGGTATTACAATTCATTACATACAATGATATAACAAAATCGAAAGCATATGGATACATTCAAGATGGTCACCCTAGTAGATGTAAATACATATGTGAAAAGTTTCACACCATACTAGTCTTAGTGGAATGCCACAGGTAGGCCTATATCCACCACAGTACGGAAATTATTTGATCTATACCATTTTCTAGCAGCAACACTAATTTATAGGTAACATGTAAACACTATAAAATGTTGTTATTTTTGAATGACAGATTCTCCTTAACTAGGAGAATGCGTTATGCTTTTTTAAAATATGCAGCCATTAACAGTCTTCTAATGATACAGAAATCCACAGGGTGTCTCTTTAATCATATTACCATATCTGATCCCATTACAAAACTGTTTTAGATTAACAACTATTGCAATTGTTTAAAGAGGGTCATAATTATACCTAAATTGGTTGTCTCATTTTCGGTTAATTATGACCTCTCTTGCAGACAAAACTCATTGAGCAATTATCAAACTGAGGCCCGATTGCAGGAGAGTTACGTAGACTGAACATTTCCTCCTGTTAAGCATCAAATAATTGGGGATCCAGGCCATAAAACTAACAAATCTGTGAAAATGCAGAATAATAGCAATGCTATTTATGGTTTGAAACAAGTCGATGCTTTTCTCTGAACTGCTATCAAAAATGTATTTACTCTTAGTTAGATAAAAAGAAATTGCTAATGCGGGTAATTATACATTAAGCATCTGTCTTTGTTGTGATTTTGAAATCACTGTATATTTCAAAAAAGAAATAAAGTACCTCATCTACATCATTCTATTCTACAGTATAGATCAGCAAGACTTAGTTCACGACATGAAGAAATTGAGGGGATTTTATAAACAAGTATAACAAAATCATATACATATGGATATAGGGTACATAGACTCCTGCCTAATGCACTATATTGAGGGTAGTGAGTGAGAGAGAATGGCAAATAAATTATTTCAGAGGTCCACTTCTTTAGTTCAACAAGAAGATAATATATAGGGAATTGCATTCAGATGTTTAAAGGACCACTAAAGCCAATCTCAATTAAGTGGTCTGAGTGCAGTGGTCCTGTTGGTTCAACCCCCAAAGGTGAAACATTGACATTTTGTAGAAACCTCAGTGGGTTAAGTATGGCTGTCAGTCTCAGTGCTGAAAACAGATAAGCAAACCCTTTTTTTTTTTTCATTTTTATTTCACACGGTTTGGGCCACTACTCTACATAGGCACAGGGACACTATAATGTTAGTGCTATAGTGTTAATTTAAAACCAGCTGTAAATTAACTTTTCGTAAAATAAAAACTTTTTAATTGGTTGAAATAGAGTCTGAGGAAACATTGGAGGCTTTTGACTGACCAGGTTAACAATAGTTTTATTTTAAACTTCTGAGTCTCTGTAGGAGAAAGGGGCAGCAGTTAGGTGTGCCACCATGTTTTTGTGGAAATATATTAGTTCTAAATGAAATTTGCTGCTATCCATACGCCTTATCGACCTCAATTTGATTATTTATTTTTTTTATAAATATTTGGATAAGCTTGTCAAATGATTTACTATTTTTGTATACACATTAAAAATATTTTTTCAAAGTATTAAAATATCAAAAATAGATCATATATATATATATATATATATATATATATATATATCTCAAAGTATTACAAACCAAAAATATTTTTTTATAATATTAAATTATTTAAAAAGTTTATCCAAAAATAGTGAATTATTTTAAAAGCTTATCCAACCATATTAAATGGGTGCCATAGTGTTTTGGAAATCATTATGCTCTGCATATTCTATGAGAGTGGTCCAAGTCAAAATTGAGATGCATTTAAATGGACACTCTAGGTACCCACATATTTTAAGTGTAGTGTGAAAGTTAGGTTATAGATTATGCTTAATGATTTGTTTTCATTTATTTATTTATATATTATGTATATTAATATGTTTGTTCCATAAATCACCCATTTCTATTCCTTCCTCTCAACCCGCAGTATTATTATTTTTTTGTTCCACAAATAGTGATGTCCTGAACATATGCGCTGTTCAGTCCGCCCCCTATGTCATCATTAAGTAAACTTTGACCCTGTACCTCACAGTCAGCAGACACATTCCAGCCAATCAGCAGCAGACCCTCCCTCCCAGACCCTCCCACCTCCTGGACAGCATCCATTTTACATCCATTTTGAAGCTGCATTCTTAGTGAGCTGTCCAGGAGGTGGGAGGGTCTGGGAGGGAGGGTCTGCTGCTGATTGGCTGGAATGTGTCTGCTGACTGTGAGGTACAGGGTCAAAGTTTACTCAAAGATGACGAATAGGGGGCGGACCGAACAGCGCATATGGATGCTAGTTTGTCTGCAGGAGATTTAAATTATATAAAAATGTCTACTTAAAACTTAAACGTATGGGTTGATGGTATTCATATGATGCCTACTCACTTGCAATAGCCCTAGTCATCCTTCCCTGTGCAGGATAAATAATAAAAAAATTTCAGAAACACATTTTAAATGTTAACATTATTCTAAATCTACATTTTATAGAAAAACAAATCTGTAACAGTCGAGGTAAGGGTTATTTTGGAAGATTTATTAAACTCCTGCTTTAAATTGTAACAATTTTACTATATTCTCACGGTAGACTGTATGAAAATTCTTAAATCAAACTTGAGAGTTACAGGAGTCATGAAAACCTGTAAAATGTGTGTATGTTTGTTTATTCTGATGTAAGCCGTGAAACTAGCTAGCTTTAAAATAGAGGTCAACCATCCCACAGTCATATGAAGTCGCGTTCGTTTTGAAAACATTGGTTAGTTAACCCACAGAAGCCAGTACTGCCTTTAACATATTTAGAGTTAGTTTATCAAGTAGCTTTACTGTTCATTAAGTCTCAACCACCCCACAATCTAATTTAAACTGACCTGTGAAGATCTGAATTATGTCTGGGGGATTTTCTGGCGCAACTGAGACATATTATTCAACTGGTCTTCCTGCTGGTTTCGTATGGGCTGGAAGAGTGGTTCCTAACCCATTCTTCAGATCACACCAAAAGGCCAGGATTCAGACACTTAAAGGACTGTGCTGGGATGGGAACTACTCGACTAGAAGAAGTCTATTTGAATATAACAGGTCCCTTTCAAATAAACAAATGTTTGCTGGATTTCTTAATTAGAAACCTATTGGACAAGTGTTTATAAATGAGAAAAAGCTAAATATTTTCTGCATGTTTGATCTATTATTCACAGCGAGGGAAAAGGTTTAAAATTGCTTTTGTAATAAACCTATAAATTTGAGCAAAACAGCATATGTTAGCTTCACTTCTATCCATTTTTAATCTTCCCACACAGTAAAGAGATAATATATTCCTCTTTGTTGTATATTAATTTATAAAATATTATATGGATTCCACGAAGAACATGGAGACTCGGAAACCTAGTGAAGCATTTCTTATTTTTTTTCTGTTGAGATGAAAAGATGTCCTCTTTCGGGGCCTCTGCTCATTCGTAATGTTTATGTGCTTGTATGTAGAAAGAAGCAGACAAAATAAATTTACAATGAATTATTTCTAGCAGATGTTGAGAAGATATAAATTATTTGCTTATGGCCACAATTAGTGAGTTTTGGGATGAATTCTGGAAATACCTACTTTTTGCGTGTCTACAACTAATAACTCGTGACTATTAGGACTTGCAATTTCTGAGAGACCATTGTAGACATAAGAACACTTTGCTGTGATGTTGAACTTACAAGTGCTTATAAGAGGCCAATGTGTGCCATTATCATATGATGCTACCGTTTCTCGAACCTGCTTTCCTTCATGATTAGGAAGTGTCATTATCAAAAGTGCTCTGTTACTTAGGAAAGCAATTTAGTAACAGGAATGATGCATCTTGTATTGTCAGAGAAAATACAATGTATATATTTTTATGTATGCAAAAAAAAGGCCTCTGGAGCCAACAGTGTGCACAAAGGATATATAAATAAAACCAAAGTCATTTTGGTGTAAATGTGGCTTTGCAAATGTTTAACTTTCTCCCCAGCCGTGTCAGGTTATGGTTTGAAGGTACATTTCAATTCAAGTGCATTACCCTGGGGGAACCCCCTTTGTCCCCTAAGAGGTTAAATGAAGCAATACTGAGCATGACTGCACACTTAATACAGACATTAGAATATTGTAGAACTTCAACAATTTTAACACAAGAACACTGTCACCTCCAAACAACAATAAACTGAAACAAGACATGCAATGTTCCAACCACCTATGATTTTGAAACAGGGTTCAATCATTCTTCTCTGTATTTTATAAATATAGGTACTGTTAACCCTTTTGCTTCTATTTGCACGGTGCACTGCTGTTCCCTTTAGAAGCAAAAGGAATTAAGGGTTATGATCAGAGTTCAAGAAAACCTACAAGGGTGTAGAGAAATTTTGGGTGACATTGCACAATGCAAAATGAGCAAATTCAAGGGAACATCTCGTTCCCCTTGAGAACAGATCTTTAAGGAGGTAATTTATGATTTTGCTGGGGAGGCAACAGATTTTGAAGTGTGCAGTCAATAAATCCAGGCGTGGTATTATGCACGTTGTGCGCTGCTTTTAAGGCTGTATGTGCCTGAACCCTTCTCAAGATGTTGTGAGGACTTTAGGTGTCTATTAAAGTCAGACTTGGGAGAAGAAAAAAAATATTTTCACAAAGTGAGAAATTTTAAAATAACATAAAAAAATGAGAACGCAATGTGGAACTTAGCCTTTAGCCCTTTTCTTGATGGACTCAGGCTTGAGATACATTGCAAATCAATGCAGTGCAGCTTCCCCAACCAAGAAGGGGTTAAAACGTTCTTTCTAATTTTGGTCCCCCTCCCCCTTTTATCTTTGTCAGTCCTGAATTGTATTTCCCAATTTCACACTTATTTGTTTTCTTCTCATTTCAAATTTTGCCATACGGATGAGGTTGGCGTTTCCTCGTGTGAGGACCTCCTTCTTATGTCATTTTATACACTGTGCTTAATGTTCTAGAACCTTTTTGCACTAGATCCTCTTTTAATTTTCTGAGATGGTTTAAAAAAGATGCTATAATTGAGTTGTATTTTAAAAAAAAAAGAATATAATACTAATACTGTCTGTGTTTCAATAGTCCTTATCTGTACCTGTAATGCTTTTTGTTCTGTTGTACTTTGAGCAGACACCTTCTGCTCTCTGTTTAACCCAGTAAAGAAATAAAATGTTACCAATTGATGATAAATCTTGTAGGTGGTCTGGAATTTATTCCCGTCATTGAAAATAAGCTTTTGGAATTGAAGACAAATCGATACTTTGGAGCCTGATACCCAGATATCTTCCCACTTGCCATTCTCCAATCCTCCCCAAAAATTTCTCGTCCGTAATTCAACACAGTGGGGCCAGATTACTCTCAGACTGAGAAAGAGTTAACATGATATATAAAGAGGTGATGAGTCCCCGCTGCAGCACACAATAATAACAATTCTGTCAGTGGAGTGATGGGTGCAATCAATCTCTGGAGTTCGGACAAAATCTATGAGTTATGGGTATTTAAAAAAGGACCCATTAGATAGATGAATGAATGATACATTGTCCATCACTTCTGTGGAGACCTTCCTACTCTCAATTTCAGAAAGTTATAGCCATGAGCCCAGGGAGGAAGGTTCCAATGAAAAGAGGGCCATCGAAGACCACTTGTGAGAGAGGCCCATTTTCAATTTAATTTTATGCCATATTCTAAGGGAATGGAGAATAACCAGCCAACCTGTGCAGAGGAGTGACCTGTGTTCACATGTAACCCACATAGAACCGCAATTTGCCATTATGTCAGCCTCCAAATCTGCCTAATAGGAAGGTGCCATGCCACCACATGCACTCGTTTGACTGCAGACCCATAATACTGGACCCAACCACCGCTTGGACCAGCACATCACCCTCCTGTAGACTCAGTGCTGTCTATGCTACCATATAAAGGAATCAATATCAGACTGCAGGCTAGTCAGATCATTATCTGTGATAGGCAGGGTGTGAAGTAGATATGATCATTTCAAGGGGAGAGTCATTTTAACTGTGTTGAGTCTGCTGATCCATGTGATAGGATATTGGTGCCATTTGTCTAGGTCAGCTTTTTTTGTTTCTTTATATATCTCAGAGGGAGTGGACTTGCTCCTGTCGTGAGTATTTGTTCATGTGGATATGTGTATAACACCCCCCACAACCCTTTGACATGCAACCAGAAAATCCAAGTATTCAAGGATGCCAAACAGAAATGGCCAATCTGTCAATGCCTTCTCTGCATTCAGCAAAAGGAGCAGAGTAGGTGTTTTGCAATGAATTGCCCACCAGTCCTCTGAATGTTATCATACAATTGGCAAGTCGGTATGAATCCAACCTGATCCAGATGACAATGTGACACCTCTATGAGCCTCTATGAGGATTTTAAGTAGAATTTTTACATCTGTATTAAGAAGTTAAGTCACCTGATAGTTGGAACTAACTAGAGGGTCTTTTTTTCTTTTGATGTAAGGACAATATTGACTTCTAGGTAAAAGCCATGACCCTACAAACTATTATTGTATAATTGCAATCGATGTACGGCAAGTATCTTTCGAAATAACATATAATAGAGCTACTCATACCAATATTTTAAAGCTATTCATAAGCTGAACACGTCAGGTGAGTAACTGTGCCAGCAGTTAAATGGCACCGTAGACTCTACATATAGTAGTTATGGTACTTAGACTTCCTCTTTGAATAAACTTGTAAAACAGCTACTCTTGAAAATTGATCTTTTTCATGATACATGTACAGATCAATGTTTGCTCAGAACATGTTTTCTAATGGCTCTAATAGCTTGCTAAGTATTCTGTTACCTTAGCAGCTAATTGTGGTGACATGTGAACCACGTAAAATGTATGTCAAATTATTGAATCACAAGCCATTGTGACTTGCCATTTAGTGAACAGACCTCTCACACCTAAACAATAACAAACAAAAAATACACTCTTACTGTATAACATCTATAGCCTGGAACCTAAAAAACTGTATCCATGAGTTCATTGTAATTGGGATCTTGCCAATGTTTAATTAGTGCCTATAAGCATGTATGTTTTTTTTTCCCAATACCATTTCTTGCCATAAAGGAATTTGTTTTAACAGAAGTGTGACGCTCTGCCAAGATATCCGTCATGGATACCCCTTTTCCAAGAGAAACAGCAAATAATTCTCACAGGCAAAATATCACTGGCATAGAATAACCCCCCACACATGAACCAAGGCTTAATGCTGGGTGAAGATTGACTTTAATGGTACAGGCATCAAATTTATACAGTCCATAAACTCCTCCTCTGTGCCTGAGAGATAATTGAGTCAGTAAATATACTAAACTCAATTATCTCCAAGAACAGAAAAATGCGCAATTTTACAACACACCAAAAGTACCCCTAAAATACAGGGAAACCCCACAAAAGTCACATCCCTGCATAGCCTGGATCTGGGCGAACAATATATCCAAAAATCACCCAGATCCACTCTGTAGTTTTGGATCGCAATCACAGGTCAAGTTCTGACCGGACTGCCACGAGGAGTAAGCCCAAAATAGTTACATGAAAATGGTGGCAAGAGCCAATGTCCGTTCGTGGGGTCTTGTACGAAAACCACATAAGATAGAGGAAAACCCATGCTCCCCATGTTCGGTAGTCTGTAACTCCTGAACGCCGTTCATATAGGTGAACTGGAACAGGCGGTAGGTCCATGGTGACCGGTGTTCGCGGGAGTGCCTGGCAAATTAGTTCCAGGCACTCGACGACCAGGTCCCGCTGGCAGCATTCGGGAGACAAGTTGGCCACCACCCAGTGGAGCATTCTATTAATGATTTCCTTTGCGGTTTTCATACAGATACATAACATTCCATATTCTAATTGGTTCCGGGGTGGAACTCAGTTCGGGAACCGAACAAAATAAACTAAATGAATGTAGACACGAACAAAATAAATGAAAGGAGCCGAAAGTGATGGGGATATTCCTTCACAAGTGTCACATCATGCCATGTTCTTCGGAGATGTCTGGCTTTGGCTTCTGGTATCCAGTACTCTTTTTGCTGTCCTTGCTTGGTTTTTCTGGTTTTCTGGTCTATGTCTGGTTTTCTTTATTGCTGGGTTTCTGGGTCCATTCCTGTAATCCATCCCTGGGATTCCCAGTCTCCAGGTTTCCTTTAAATGTTTGTTTTATGTTGCCACACCTGTTGGTTTTCCACTTTCCTTTTGCTTCAGCCTGAAACTGCAGCAGAGTTTCAAGTCTCTGCCCTTTCTTGCAGGTAAGTGCTATATTGTGGTTTAGAATGGTTGTTTTAGCATACATTAGGCAGTGTAGGACCTGCCAGATATGGGGTACATTGGCGTTGTTGGCAGGCCTATACAATGTATGATCATATAATGTAACTAAATCCCCATACTTTTCATATATAGCGCTTAGTTATGTCTCATCTTCTTTTACCTTGTATTTCTTGTCTTGTTTTATTTAGTCTTGTAATCCCAGTCCATGTACAGTCCTGTCCAGTCATGCCCATGTTATGTTCTTGTTTTCCTCTTGTCTTGTGTACATGTTCTGCTTTCTGTCCTGCTCTGGTTCTGAGTTCTCCTAGTTTTGTCTTGTTTTCATGTATGGTGCCTATCTCTAGTCTTGTCCTGTTCTCCTGGTTTTGTCTTGTTTTCATGTATGGTGCCTATTTCTAGTCTTGCCTTGCTTCAGTACTAGATACATCCCTGCTGCAGAGCCTCCCTATTCAGATCCTGGGAGGTCTGCTTAATTCCAAGCTCCTAGTTCCTGGGATCTGCATAAGCTGAATCAGGATTTTGGTTGCCCTGCATCGGGCCCTGTAATCCACTTCCACACTGAAGACTCCACTTCTCATCAGGCACTCAGGGGTCCCGGTTTCCGTACCGCCACCGATGACAACAAGAAGGTATCATGAGGATGGGTGGTAACCCTTTACATATTGTAAAAATACCAGAGTTTATTGTATATTTGTTGTTGGACCTATTAGAGTTTAGGGCATTTTGACAAAAGAAAAATATCTACATCTTCCTGCTCAAGATAACTTGGAAGGATCCTTCGCAGTCTGGATCGTGCAGATTCAATACTGTTCACATAGAAAGGTTTAGTGTTACCGTAGGAATAACAGGAACAAACGGCAGAAGTCACACATAGAGATATGGACACAAGTCTTCAGGAAGTAACAGGTCTTTTATTTACACACCGATCGGGTCTCAGATGAACTCCTGTTCCAAAAATATCTGAGAGATGGAAAGCATGATGCAGAGGCCTTTTGTTAGCAGCATATCCCCTCCCATACAGTAAAACCCCTCCTATATTCCTCAGACCAATCAGCACACAGGATATTCAGGATCACCTTATATGGGCAGACCACATGGCATTTACAGACAAAGGAATGTACTATCCACTTCCACACATGCTCAGTATACTGATGACTCATCCAACTGTTTGTAATCAGAAACTAATTAGCATATGCCATGTGGAGATTTCGGCCTACTAAATTTTGACCATGTTGGAATCCCATCACATTCCCCCCTTTGATGCCTCTGATACAAAGTTATACAAGATGCATCACTAACCATAATTTGCCAACACCACACAAGTAGCCATGGACCAGAACAGACCTTGTAATCATTCTAACTGAACTTCGTGCTCTCTCAACATTCCTCATCCTGATTATTCTTTCTCTGGGCTAGAGGTTCATACTTCCAGACAGCCATTACATGAGCAGCTGTCTTTCTTTCAATAGTACTCTCTATGATATTATGTATAGATCTGACCACTAATGGAATTAGGCAGGGCAGAAAGAGACATAAGAATATAATGAATATTACTCCTCCTACTAACGCCTTAAAGGACCACTATAGTGCCAGGAAAACATACTCGTTTTCCTGGCACTATAGTGCCCTGAGGGTGCCCCCACCCTCAGGGACCCCCTCCCGCCCGTCTCTGGAAAGGGGAAAGGGGTTAAAACTTACCTTTTACCAGCGCTGGGCGTGGAGCTCTCTGCCTCCTCTACTCCTCCGATCCTCCTCCTGGGCTGAATGCGCACGCGCGGCAAGAGCTGTGCGCGCATTCAGCCCGTCGCATAGGAAAGCATTTACAATGCTTTCCTATGGACGCTTGCGTGCTCTCACTGTGAAAATCACAGTGAGAAGCACGCAAGCGCCTCTAGTGGCTGTCAATGAG